TCCAGGATTTTTGCTCCTTGAGTTCCAGTTACTTTTATTTTCCAGTGCATTTTATCTAGCCTTACTCTCAGCAGGGAAGATAGTATAATACCAGCTACTCCATTATAGCCCTAAGTGGAAGTCCTCCTGCCATCATTTTTAAGTTTTCATTTCTTTTATTAACTTGTTCTTCAATGCTGTGCCTTTCATGGTTGAAAATATCTTTATTTTGCCCTAGCAGTTGAATGATACCTTAAGTAGGTAATAGAATTCTTCATTTTATAGTCTTTTCCCCTTACAACTCTGAGAAGATGAGAGTCATTATTTTTTAGCATGTGGTGTCACAGATGAGAAATCTGATTCTTATTACTATGTTAAAGACTTTTCTCTTACCAGATAAAGATTATCAAATTTTCTTTTTGTTCTTAGATCTTGGAAATTTCACCAAGATATGTTTATATATATCTTCTATAAGAAGATATGTCTTCAGTATGTATATTTGACAGTTCATGAGACTTAACGCCCTAAAGATTAAAATCTCTTTGATTCTTGGAAATTTTCTTGTATTATTTCTTTCACTATTTATTTTATTCTATCCTCTCATAATTTTTCTTTTGAATTCTTATAAGCTATATTTTGAATTTTCTGCCTCAATCTTCTCTGCCTCTTAACTTTGTCCTCATAATCTAAAAACTGTTATGACTTTGCTTGCCCTTCCGGGAAAATTCCTTCCATCTCACTTATTTGTCTTTTAGCCATGTTCATTCTAATACTCAGCTCTTCTATTAAGTATTTTTAAATTATGTTTTGTCAATTTTAAATTTCCAGGGTCTTGTTCTCCTATTTTTCCTTTTCCAATGAAAGCTGTTCTTGTTTCAAGGATGAATTATGCTCTCAAATCTATGTAATGATTTGTTTGTGATCGTCCGAATTTTTTCACATTGAATTAATTTTTAAGAGAGGGTGGAATATGGAATTAGTTGCCCTACTTGTGTAACTTGGTAACTTTCATGATATTGGTTTTCCCCATGTCCAAGTGATGCTTGTTTGTATGCTCACAATTTTTTTAAAAGGTTATTTATTTGAGAGAGAGAGAGAGAGTGAGGGCAGGGGAAAGGGCAGAAAGAAAGGGGGAGAGAGTTTCAAGCAGACTCCCCACTGAGTTTGGAGCCCAACACGGGGCTTGATCTCACAACCCTGAGATCATGACCTGAGCCAAAATCAAGAGTCCGTCAAATAACTGACTGAGCCACCCAGGCGCTCCCATGAGCTCACATTTTAAAATGAAAGTCTAGATTTATCATTACCGCTAGCTTACGGGGATTTCCTTAGACATTATTAAAGGCTCTTGTTTGATGTATCTGGACACAGCTCCCTCTTGAAGGTAATAGTTGACCAACAGGTTTTGCAAGTGAACTTCAGCCAGCTGTAATGAGTGGACAAAGAAGTCCCCACAAATGGGCTTCTCTTCAGAGTATGTAAGTTGAAAACTAGCTGGGAACTGGGAACTCTCAATTGCAGACAAAGGGGAAGTGTTACCTGACAGAGGCATGCATTCAGCCATTTTTTGCTTTTTGCAGCAGCTTTTTGTTTTTCCTTCCCTGTGTCAGGTGCGGCTGCCTAGTTTCCTGAGGCAATGCCCTTTCTCTCTCTGACTCTAAGGGTGGCTTTTCACAGCAATTTCCCTCACTTTCTATGCTGTGCTTGCCAACGCTTATGCTGTAATTGATGTAGGTGTTCATCATGCATAGCGAGCAGGGTAGTTGTTTCCATCTGGCCATCCTTAGAGTAAGTGCACAACCCCACCGTCCAGCCCTGCTCCCATGGCCAGCTCTTCCAAACCTTGACCTTGAAGTTTGCGTGTTCTCTAGTGGAAGAAAAATGCAAATCTTAAAGTAGTCCCTCTTTCTCCTGTATTCAGTTTGAAGTCCTCACTTTTGTTTGTTTCTCCATCAATAGAGCCTCCTAAAAATTTCCTTGACACATAGCTTTACAGCTTCTACCAGAATTTTTTAAAAGTAATGTATTGAGTAAATTTACTCACTCTTTAAATATAATTATGCTAGAACCATATGTGCTGGAGTGCCTGGGTGGCTTTCGTTAAGCATCTGCCTTCTGCTCAGGTCATGATCCCACTGGGATCGAGCCCGCATCTGGCTCCCTGCTCAGCAGGAAGCCTGCTTCTCCCTCTCCCACTCCCCCTGCTTGTGTTCCTTCGGTCCCTGTCTCGCTCTCTGTCAAATAAATAAATAAAATCTTTAAAAACAAACAAACAAAATACCAAAAGAACCATATGTGTCATTTAATCATTTTCACACAATTTCTTTTATGTAAGCATATAAGCATTTTTTACCTGTTTCTCTGTGTACTAGGATTCTGTTTTCCATTTTCAGTGTACAGTCTCTGTCTTCTGTTAAATTTGAAATTATTTAAGGCCACATAATTGTTTCATATAATAATTAAACTTAAACATCCTATCTTACACTGTGCCTTTTTTCTACTCCCATGCTATACTGAAATGATGGGGACTGGGCTGTGTTGCAAATAAATCTTTTGTTGTGGTTGTTTAAAAACAAAAACACATGACAGTGGAACTGTAGTGGTTGTATAAAGAAATCAGACTTAGTTCTCCTCACTGAAGGTTAATACAAGTAAATATTGGGGACCAGAATATACTTTTCATAAGTGGCTAATATCTAAATTGTATTCCATACTGAAGCTTTATCCATGTAGTACGATTCCTTTGCTGTGATGGTCAGGGCATAGAGTCAGTGGGACCCAGGTCCAAACCCTAGCTCTAACACTTGCTAACTCCATGACTTGGGACAGCCCAGTGCCTGGCACAGAGAGGACACCAGTAAATATTGGATGAGTGATGTATGAAGTTACTAAATGTATGAGGCTCAGTTTCTTTATCTGTAAAATAAGTAGAACAACACAGTTGCTTAGTGATTACAGATAACTCTTGGCATATAATAAGCATTCAATTAACACTAGATGTAATGATAATAAATTTTATACTAAAATCCTTTCATTAATATCAAGCAAGTCCCAGAAATAATATGAGTTATCTCAGCTTATGAGGGTGGTGAGAGGGATATACTCACGTGACACAGCGCCTTCAGATAGCCTTTCTAGCACTGTTTATTTCTCTTTTGCTCCAAGCAATTATTGAAGCAGATTGTGTGTTTAACAGTTCAACAGCAAACTTAAAGAGTAAAGACAGAGTCTTAAGGAGCAATACGAACCAACTGGAGATCTTCTGGACACAATTCCGTCACAGGTCTAAGGAATAATAAAGCAAATGTGTGACATATACTGGAGAAAATAAGGGAGTTCAGTTCATGTGGAGAAGGTTGTGTAGAAGTGAGTTTGGAATTGGAAATGGGAAAAAAGACACTATTTGGTACAAAGACTATGGGGAGATTTCTCAGACTACAGGCGGGGAAGGTTGGTGTGGTGTCTTGGGCACAAGTGGATGCTGGGGACAGCAGGAGCTTGTGGTTGGGAGTTCTTCGTGGGAGGGGCAGTGGAAGGTGAGATGAGTTATGCAAAGTGGAAGGAATTTGCAGATCACCTTGATAATTGCACCAACTTTCTGTTTTGCTCTTTCTCAGCCTCTTAGTGCCTTGTTTGAACATAGAAACATTCCAGAGAGGATCAGAACTATTAGATAAACTAGAGGTTGGCATTGTTTTCATTTTAAGGTAGTCCACTTTGTTGTTGTTGTTTTTTATTCAATGACAATTTATTTATGTATTTATTTTTAAAGATTTATTTGTTTAAAGAGAGAGAGAGAGCATGAGAGGGGAGAGGTCAGAGGAAGAAGCAAACACCCCACTGAGCAGAGAGCCCAATGTGTGACTCGATCCCGGGATTCCAGAATCATGACCTGAGCCGAGGGCAGTTGCTTGACCAACTGAGCCACCCAGGCACCCCAAGGACAACAATTTAAACAGTTTAAGTTTAGTTTTAGTAGATCACAGAGTATAAAGCAAGCCCTAATGCTTATGGACTTGATTATCTCTTCGGTATCCAACAATTAAAGTGGACACCTTGAGGGAAAACCAGTTTTCATCTGATTTAGTTTGGCAATTGCAATTTAAAATCCATTCCTTGGGGTGCCTAGGTGGCTCAGTGGGTTGAGGCTCTACATTTGGCTCAGGTCATGGTCTCCGGGTCCTGGGATCAAGCCCCATGTCAGGCTCTCTGCTAGGCAGGGAGCCTGGTTCCCCCTCTCTCTCTGCCTGCCTCTCTGCCTACTTGTGATCTCTCTCTCTCTTTCTCTCTGTCAAATAAATAAATAAATAAAATCTTAAAAAAAAAAAAATCTGTTCCTTCTCTGAGATGATGTGAGCCCCTATGGCATGTTCTCCCTTCTTCTCTGTAAAGTTATTCTCGCTTTACCTTCCATTCTGATTCTAAGCCAGCTGATATGTTGGGGAATCAGGGTTTAAATACCTCTTTGTTCATTTGTGAAAAGAATTAAAGAAATATGCCAACACCATTTAGTACAAGGCTGTCTGGGATGGCACAGAAAACACTATATCACACAGAGAATTATACTATATAACACTATATAACACAGAGAATTAACAGCTCTGCATACACTGAGGGTAAAGAAAAAGGATGTGTAACTTGTCTTCCCTCATTCCTTCTATTTTTGTTGTTATTGTTCATATAAATGCCTTTTATTTCCAGTGAAAGTTTTAGACAGAACATTCTTTGTTTTCCTGCATTCACTTTTTTTCCTTCTGTTATTGGAATGCCTGCATCAGTGCGTCACTTGCTATGTATAGCAAAAATACTAGGATCAAATGCAAGGTGACCGCATTGACTCCATGCTAGAAATATTGTTCTCTACTTTATTTATTCCAGTATATGTATCCTTGATAGACATTTCATTTTTTAAAGTGTTATCTCTTAGGAGATTTCTGTTATTTAACATGATCCCAAGATGTAATCTTCCAAAGAAGGGAATGGCAAATTATTTTAATGCTTTTTATTGTTTTTGTTTCCAGCCTATTCTACTAAGCTCAACAAATTTCCTGTATTTAATATTAATGATGACTTGAATGATCTGTGTACCAGTGCAGTGAGCCCAAACACTACCAAAGCCACGCGGTATGCCTTGAACGTGTGGCGATACTGGTGCGTGACCAACGGGCTCAAAGATCACACGGACATCACCAAGGTAAGTCTGAGTCTACTTACTCTCTCAGCCACTTTCACAGCTTCTAAGTCCTGGGCATTCTGTTAAGCATTGTGGGGAACACAGAACAGTTGCTTTTTGCTTGAGAAAACTTTGAAAGAACCTGAAAGCAAAAGAAAAAATATACACAGAACAAAGCAGAATTTAATAAGCATTTTATGAATGTACAGATCAGAAATGCCAAAAAATTTAGATAGATAAGTCAATTTCAGTTTGGTGAAACTAGTGAAGGAATTGATACTAAAGCTGTGTTTTGAAGGACAGTGGGATTTTAGTAGAACTGGGGCACCTGGGTGGCTCAGTTGGTGAAGGAACTGCCTTCAGCTCAGGTCATGATCCTGGAGTCCCAGGATCGAGTCCTGCACCAGGCTCCCTGCTCAGCAGGGAGTCTGCCTCTCCCTCTGACGCTTTCCCGTCTCATGCTCTCTCTTTCTCTCTCATTCTCTCTCATTCTCTCTCTTTCAAATAAATAAATAAAATCTTAAAAAAAAAAAAAGGAATTTTGGTAGGACTGGATGAAGATGGGAGTCCTCTAGGCCAAGTGACATGAGGAAAAATAAGATTTGGAGGGATAGACTCACTTGCCTGCAGCAGGGATTTCAGATACGAGAATAGCAGATCTATAGATCTATAAATCTAAATCCAGACTTTGATAAACCATTAAATACCAAACTAAAATCTTGTGAATATTGGAAGCCATTGAAGTTTTGTTTTGTTGTGTTGTGTAAGGAGAGACTTTCTCTGAAGAATTATTTCAGTGGTAACAGGGGAGGGACTGTCAAAATAGGGAGAATGCTCTGACTGTAAGATCTAAAGGGTTAGGCAAAAGGGAAACCACTGACGTACATAATATATTATAGACTAATATGTATGAAATCTTATAGAAATGAAAAGAATTATAAATTGAGGAAGCAACAACATAGTTATCAAAGTAATCCACTGGAACTGAAAATAAAAAAAAATTTCCACTCGTGGCCATAGGAGAAAAGGGTCCAAAATTAGAAGACTGGGGGCGCCTTGATGGCTCAGTCGTTAAGCATCTGCCTTCAGCTTGGGTCATGATCTCAGGGTCCTGGGATCAAGCCCCACATCTGGCTCCCTGCTCAGCGGGAAGCCTGCTTCTCCCAGTCCCCCTCCCCCTGCTTGTGTTCCCTCTCTCGCTGTGTCTCTCTCTGTCAAATAAATAAATAAAATATTTAAAAAAAAAAGACTGAGCACAATATGTACAACAACTGTTTTCAGACAGAACAGACAGCACAGGACTTGATCCCTTAGAGAAAGGTAACAGATGAAAGTACTGAGAAAGGTTTTGCATCAAATGTGGAGAATAGTTAGCTTTAGACTGAATTTTGCTCTAATCCCACCCAACAAACCTTAAAAGCTAGGCCCAGGTGCATGAAAAGGTGCTAACATCACTAATCATCAGGGAAATGCAAATCAAAACTACCACGAGATACCACTTCACACCTGTCAGAATGGTTAATGTCAAAAAGACAAGAAATAACAGGTGTTAGTAAGGAATGTGGAGAAAAGGGAACCTGGTGCACTGTTGGTGGGAGTGTAAATTAGTGCAGACACTGTGGGAAACAGAATAGAAATTCCTCAAATAACTAAAAATAGATCTTCCATATGATCCAGCAATTCCACTTCTGGGTATTTGTCTGAAGGAAATAAAAACACTAACTTGAAAAGATTTATGTATCCCCATGTTCATTGTGCCCTTATTTACAGTAGCCAAGACATGGAAGCAGCCTAAGTGTCCATTGATAGATGAATGGATAAAGAAAATGTGCATATATACACAATGGAATATTACTCAGCCATAAGAAGAAGGAAATCTTGCCATTTGCAACAAAATGAATGGACCTCGAGGGCATTATGCTAAGGGAAATAAGTCAGAGAAAGGCAAATACCATATGATCTAACTTATACGTGGAATGTAAAAATAAAACAATGGGAACAACAAAAAACTAAACCAAACTCATAGGAAAAGAGAAAAGATTAGTGGTTGCTTGAGGTGTGTCAGGGGAAGGGAATGGAGAGTAAAATGAGTGAAGGTGGTCAAAAGGTTCAAACTCCCAGTTATAAAGTAAATAAGTCCTGGCAATGTGATGTATAGCTTGATGGCTATAGTTAATAATACTGCATTGTATATGTGAAATTTGCTAAGAGAGTAGATCTTAAAAGTTCTCATCACAAGAAAAAAAAATTTAACTATGGGTGATGATGGATATTAGCTAGACTATGATAATAATCATTTTGCAGTACATAAAAATATTGAATTGTTGTGTTGTACACCTGAAACTAATGTACTGTTATATGTCAATTACACCTCAATTCTTTCAAGTTAAAAAAAAAAAAAAAAAGCAAGACCCAGAAGGATTGAATGATTTTTCAAGTAGCCTATGTCTGGAGCAAAGCTTAAAAATATTTATAGAAACATAAAAATATCCAGAACCAAAGAAATAAAATTCACAGTGTCTGGCAACTAAAAAAAATTATCAGACATGCAGAGAAGCAAGAATATGTCCCTTAAATAATGAATCAGTCAAAACCAGCCCAGATCTAACAAAGATTTTAGAATTAGCAGACAAGATATTAAAAAGTTATTATAAAGAAGATAAACAAATAGCCGATGAGCACATGAAAAGATGCCAACTTCCTTAGACGTCAGGGAAATGCAAATCAAAACTACATGAGATTCTACTTCATATCCAACAGGAAGACTACAATAATGATAATTTTTTACAAAGATAATAATAAGTATTGATGAGAATGTAGAGTAACTGGAACTTGTACATTTCTGGTGGGAATATAAAATGATGGAGCTGTTTTGGAAACAGTCTTGCATTTCCCTACAAGTTAAACATAGAGTTACTCTTTGGCCCGGCAATTCCGCTCCTACATATAGACCCAGAAAATTAAAAAGATGTGTCTGTACAAAAAGTCATACCTAAATATATGTTGTGGCTTTATTCACAATAGCGAAAACAACCCAAATGCCCATGAGCAAATGAATAGATAAAATGTGGCATACCCATACAATGGAATATTATTTAGCAATGAAGAGAAATGAAGTACTGATCAATGTTTACAATATAAATGAACCCAGAAAACATACTAAGTGAAATAAGTCAGAAACAAAAGAAAAATGTATATTATTTCATTTAGGTAAGATATCTAGAATAGGTAGGGTCATAAAGACAGAAGGTATGAGAGAGGTTACCAGAGGCTCAGAGGAGGAGGAAATATGCAGCTATTGTTGAATGAGTACAGTTTCTGCCTGGAACGATGCTAAAGTTCTGGAAAGGAATAGTGGCGGGGGTTGGTCAATGTTTTAAATGTACTTAAAACCATGGAATTGTATACTAACAAATGGTTAAGATGGTAAATGTTATATATGTTTTACCACAATTTAAAAAAATACAAATAAATCAGTAAAAATATAACTATTTTACCTTTATTAATAATAATTTTAAAATTCACCTGTTCTCACAGACCCTTATCAGCATTTCGTCACCCCCTACTAACCTTAATTTTTTCTAGGCCAGAGGATCTTGTCTTTCAGACTTTAAAGTTGTCTGTTTCTGGGAGCCTTTACGTTCCCATGCAAGAATCCCTGAAAAGAGCCTAATTTCTCCACGCTCTCCAAGGTTTAGAGAAGTTCTGCATTCCAGGTGGAAAAAATGTCCCATCTGTCCCGTAGAGTGTGCCTTATCATTGAACTAGTATTTCTTAGTTTCTCCTGTGTTACCTAGAGGAATCCTGGATGAGAAAGAAGATAGATTTTAGTCTTCTGTAATCTATTCACATGGGCCCCTCAAATTAAACATTTTTAATAATAAATTCTTAAGAAAGAGGCCAGTATCTTAGAGAATTAGCCAATATTTAGTAAAAAGAATGAATTGTGGTATCAAAGCCCGTATTCTTTAATCTCATTTTCTTGGTCTCAATGCAAGATATTTTTAATCTAGATGTGTCTTTAACGAGAGATAAAAGAGACACCTGGCTGGTAGAGCATGTAACTCTTGATCTCATGAGTTCAAGTCCCACACTGGGTGTGGAGCTAACTTTAACAAAAGAAAGTTAGATATAGCTGGCAGCAGACAAGGTGGGTAAGAGCTCTTGATCACGGTTTGGCACCTGGTGAGCCTCAAATTAGTCACGTGCTCAAGGGAGAAAGGAAGGAGTCAAACTAGACTTCAGAACGCCATCTAAATAAACAGGGTGCACACTGCCAGCCTCACTCTGTAGCTAGTGTGTGAGTTCCACCTAGTATTTTCCCTGCTGGTTCTTTTCACAAGTGTGATCGGATCCTCACTGACCCATCTCCCTCAAGGCTGCTGCCTCACTGACTTAGATGGTCTCAGAGTCCACTAAATCTGACTTCCCTCTTTGCCTAGGCTTGTTCAAATGTGGCTTAGTTCTTGGGATCACACACATTAGGTGGGATCACAAATCCCACCTAATATGAAGAGAGGTTAACACCTGCAAGTAGGGAGCTACAAGTGACAACATAAAAATCTGAAACCAGTTGAGTTTGAGAGTCATGGTTATTTTGACAGGTTTTTACCGGTGTCTAAGAAAGTTGTTGCTTTTCAAATACTGTATGTAGCTACCCTACTGATGACTTTTTAGCTGAATCTCTTGGAGTTTCCTAGACCAACAATCAGATGACCAGAAAACAATTATATTTTGGGGTGCCTGGGTGGCTCAGTGGGTTAAGCCTCTGCCTTCGGCTCAGATCATGATCCCGGGTGCTGGGATTGAGCCCCACTTCGGGCTCTCTGCTCAGCAGAGAGACTGCTTCCCCCTCCCCCTCTACCTGCTTCTCTGCCTACTTGTGATCTCTCTCTGTGTCAAATAAATCAATAAAATCTTTTTTAAAAAAAGAACATAATTATATTTTATCTTTTTCCTTTAGTATATACAATACACGTATGTATGCATGTGTGTAATTTTTTTTCTTGTCTTGCCTGGTTTGCTAGAACCTCCAGACTACTGTTACACACATACAGTATCAGATATTCAGCAAGCTCATCCTATTCCTGACTTTATAAAGAAACCATTCTAATGTTTCCATCTGAGGTATAATTTTTATAGTTCTTGTCTGTAAAATACTCATCGTAGTAAAAGTATTTTTTCTTCCAATCTAAATTTAATTTGAATTCTTAAAAATTTGAAATGGATATCAAACTTTCAAGTAAGTTTTCAGTAATTAGCAAGTTCATATTACTTTCTCTATGAGTAAGTCCATTATATTAACATATTTATTAAGATTGAATCATCCTTACACTCTGCAACAATCCTTACTTGTCTTGATGTAGTGTTGCTTTCCTGCAGTTCTGAATGTGATTTGATAACATAGGCCGTCCTTGTTTTGTGTGGTACCATGTAAATTGCTCTTCGTGCATATCAGAGCTGTGTATCAGAGCCTTGTGCTCGTTTTCCAATGTTATAACATGCAACTGTCTTACTTAACAGGGCACTGTGCTAAATGAAAATAGCTTGTTTATATTTATATTCATATGCTTTTTTTCATGTATGTTAGATTCGAATTCAAGAAAAATGAAGACCCTTTCTCTTTCTCGTGCTCCAAAGCTGTTTAAGTACAAAAGCTAAATAGACTTCATAAAACCATCCCCTTAGATGTAATACACATCTCTGACAATCTTGTCACTCTATTTTGGGGCTCTTCAGCTCTTTTACTTCTTTTTTTTTTTTTTTAAGATTTTATTTATTTTTGAGAGACAGAGCACAAGCACAAGCTGGGGGAAGGGCAGAGGGAGAAGCAGACTCCCCACTGAGTTCCAGGGAGCTGATGCGGGGCTCAATCCCAGGACCCTGAGATCATGACCAGAGCTGAAGGCAGACGGTTAACAAACTGAGACACCCAGGCACCCCTATTGAGACTTTCTTTTGTCCTAGAACATGTACTTGGCCTGAAAGGACTATGAGGAAAGTCTGGTTTTCTCTTTCTAGCTCCCTCTTTTTTTTTTTTAATTTAATTATTTACTTATTTATTTGTCAGAGAGAGCGCGAGAGAGAGCCCAAGAAGGGAGAGCAGCAGGCAGAGGGAAAGGGAGAAGCAGGCCCCCCCACCAAGCAAGGAGCCCAATGCAGGACACGATTCCAGGACCCTGAAATTGTGACCTGATCTGAAGGCAGCCTCTCAACAGACTGAGCCACCAAGGCATCCCTCTAGCTCTTTCTTGAAAATAAAGCTCTCGGGACATCTGGGTGGCTCAGTGAGTTAAGCATCTGCCTTCAGCTCAGGTCATCATCCCAGAGTCCTGGAATGGAGCCCTAGTTGGGCTCCCTGCTCAGCGGGGAGTCTACTTCTCCCTCTGCCCCTTCCCTTCGCCCACCCCACTGTGCAAGCACACTTGCTCTCTCAAATAAAATAAATAAAATATTTCTTTTAAAAAGCTAAAAAAAAGAAAGAAAGAACTCTTTTAATGTCCGGGCTTCCTTCTCCCAACATATCCAAGTGAGGAGCTCTCTCTAATTGTCAGTGCAGTCATTAAGCTTTTCATATTTTTTGAAAAAGTATTGTTATTGCAACCCTGTGGGTCATTAAGCCAGTTATATTTCAGGACCTGTTCAGATACATTCAAGTGAAGGATTAAGGTCATGAACTTGCTGTGCAGCCCGGACATACCCATCGTCTTTCCCCAACAGCACCATGTTTAGTGCCCGCAGGACCCAATAGTATGGTAGATTTTGAGGAAATTGATGCTGGGAGAATTCAGAATTTGTAAATTTGGTTCACAAATTCTTTAGAGAGAATGTTTGGATTTTAGTGAAGGAGAGAAAAGGAAATGATTTGCTAGAAAAGAAAAGGAAGGCTTTCTGGAGGGGAATAGAATTGTGCAAGTTACAAAGGCCAATAATCATAATTACTAAATACATGTATATTTATGTATGCATATGTGTGTGTGTTCTCCATTATTTAAAACCCTTCCATGCCTCTTCCTTTATTTAGGCATCACAGTAATCCTTTGAGAAGGTCTTTATTTTGTCCCATTTTGCTGCGTGAAACACTGTGGTTCCAAGTATGGAACCGAGATCTTCCATATGAAGTTCTTTCACTGTATCAGGCTAGGAATCAACCCTATAGAGGCCACAAAATGTCCCGTCCACAATACAGCCCCTGGGAGGACGAGGAGAAGGAAGGGGTCTGGCTCTTTGGGTGTCCTCCAATGTGTAACCTCAGTGTTTGTCTCATTTGAGATCCCTGCGGTGAAGTTGAATGAGCTGCTCGAGAATTTCTATGTCACCGTTAAGAAGAGTGACGGCTCCGACTTCCTGGCCACCTCGCTGCACGCCATTCGCCGCGGCCTGGACCGCATCCTGAAGAATGCAGGCGTGGGCTTCTCCATCACCAGCAGCACCTTCAGTTCTTCCACCAAGAAACTCAAGGAGAAGCTGTGGGTGCTGAGTAAGGCAGGGATGTCAGGTGCTCGTTCTCGCAATATTGTCTACTTCTCTCTTTCCGATGAGGAGGAGATGTGGCAGGCAGGGTGTCTGGGGGATGACAGCCCTATCACTCTGCTGTCCACCGTGGTCAAGTACAACAGCCAGTACCTGAACATGCGGACGCTGCAGGAACATGCAGATCTGATGTACGGTGACATTGAGCTGCTCAAAGACCCCCAGAACCAGCCCTATTTTGCCCGGACAGACAGTGTCAAACGGGAGAGCCGGAGTGGTTCCACCAGAGTATGCCACGGGAAAATCTACCACGAGCATTCCAGGGGCCACAAGCAGTGCCCTTACTGCCTCCTCTACAAGTACATGTACATCCACCGGCCGCCCACGCAAATGGAGGCCAAGTCCCCGTTCTACCTTACGGCCAGAAAGGAGGCCACAGACACGGGCAGTGTGTGGTACGAGGAGCAGAGGATGGGCCTGCGGTCTCTTCGGGGGATCGTTCCCAACTTAGCCAAGAAGGTCAAGCTGGAAAACTGTGAGAACTTCACCTTTGTCTCATTTACTCAGGTCTCCAGGAGGCTCGGCTCCCACAGTTGCTGTCAGTGAGTCTCCCCTGGGCCCAGGCCACTGCCCTGCTCACCCCGAGGGGCAAGAGTTCCCTCAGGTAAGCTGGGCCAGAGCTCTGAGGTGGCAGCCAGTGACGGCGACCTCAAGGTCAGGCTGGTCTCTGGCAGGGTGACCTGCTATTTCTTCAACTTTGGGTGTGTTTTTGTAACTGAAAGTAGAGGAGTCTGAATGGTTAGGGTATTTTATCCAAACGTGTGTCACCTTTGTTAAATTATAGAATCTAACACCATGTATAACTGCTCCATAAACAAGAGTGAGGAAGTTCATTTAGTGCCTTTTTAGCACAGATTTTCTTAAAAAAAAGAAAAAAAAAGAAAAAAGAATAAAGGAGACTGTTTAAGTAGTCATTAAAAAATACTCCCAGTAGCCTAGTAGCTTTAGAATGTTATGAAGACTATATATACTTTGTTGAATTACACTCACAATAAGGAACTGGAAGGAGAGAGGCAGACACGTTAACTATTTCCAGGAGAAAAATTGCACCTGACACTCCTCTGCCTGTTTCGTTGATGGATAGCTTAGTTCTGCAGAGCAAGCAGCTTTGCCTGCTAGAAGCTGGTGGGGCTGCACTAGGGAGTGCTGATGGGGAGATGGGGGCGGCCCCCACTGCTCTCAGCATGGGGAGCAACTTGATCCCTGTGTCAATGGGGACAATTTTAATTTTATGGAAAAAGATGAATGCACCAGACGATATTTAGGAGAGCAAGGTTTCCAGTGAACTGGGTGGTTTGTACCATGAGGGAATTTCCAGAAGTGGCTTGGAAAATAGCGATCTGTGATCAAAATACGAAAACCTCCTGAAGCAGAAGTGCCTACGTGTTCTTCCTCAGCACCGCGTGAAAGCTATTTTCATTTGAACCTTTTTTTGGAATCTTTAAAAATCTGTCCTTTGTGTCATACAGTTGTGCCGTCAGCATCTACCCCCAGATTTGTTAAACGACCACAGGTAATTTTCAGGCTTCGCCCGGAAAATCCAACAAAGCAAGCTGCAAAGAAAGCAAATGCCCAAACGTGTTTATGAAAGTACTTAGGATATGTTTTATCAAAGTTTGACTTTTTTTCCGCAACGACAGATGTCATCATTCTAGGCCGGCACCCATGCATGGGCCATGATGACGGAGACAGCCTGCCAGGTAAGCGGACTCAGCACTAAGGCCACGCGTATAAAAATCAGAGCGTGATGGTAGGTCATTGATGCACTCAGGTAAACTGCAGCCTGACCATATGTTATTGAAACATGAGCAGAATTTTCTGGTAACTACTCTGAATGACAAGAGAAAAAGAAGCCCAAAGAGTGCAAATCAATAATAACAATAATTTCCAGGAGTCTTTATGTTGTATTTGAGGAAGGACTGCTACAAGATTATGTTCCTGCGTATGCTTTCTAATCCAAAATTGAAATTCCAGTATAAAATTCATGTTGCAAGAGTCCTAAAATCGGTTCTAGTTCTTTTTCAAGTTCTTTTTCAAAGTAGTATTTATTTTAATTAATTGTTCTTAAAAATCATTCACCAGTCGTTGAAATACGTAATACATCCTTTACCAGAAAAGACTCAGCCAATGCTGCCTTAAGGTTTAATGTTGTTCCCTTTTTAGTTAAACTGAACATTTATAATTTTGTTTACTAGTTGATCTTTTCTGAGTGTGGGTTCATTTTGGTATGTCTCCGTGCATATGTAAGTAACACTGATTTAGTAATCAGTGTTATGACTTGATACTGCATATTATTCTGTTGTGATTTCCTATAGTGGTTTTAGGGTTTTGCTTAAAGAAGAGACACAAAGCATTAGGTATAGTTTTCCTTAGTTTGCTAAATACCCAAAGGATATTTTGTTTGTGGAAAGCAGGTGGTGATCTTTCCTGTCAGTTCTGCACTTAAACAGAAATACACCCCAAGTGAACTCTTGGGCAGACAGAGCCTGCAGCCTAATTAAATAAAACCTCCCTTTTTATTTTAAATAGAAGCAAGAGGAAATGGCCTTTAGGAATCCCTGATCTTTTCAGATTTCAACATGTCCATAAGTAGCAGTAACTGACCCAGAGGTTGTCATCCTTCTGTTGACAGGGCCTTTTCCTCAGCTGAACAACCACCTCTGTCTCACATTTGTTGCTTCTCACTGTTTGATGTGCTATAAATCCCAGAGTTCTGAGGTGAATGACTGAATAAAAAACCAGGAGGTGGAAACTTCAGTGATATCTGATGGAATGAGAACGTTGCATCTCAGCATCCTAATGCCACGCATTTTGTGCCCCCCTCGGGGACTGGGAGTTAGATTTAGCAGATGCTACTCTGTGCCACCGGTTAATGAGGTACTTTGTTATGTGTTTGCGTGAGATGTCTGTGTATGTATGCAACACACGCTTCAAATGTGTATGTGGTGACGCCTGGTAAACCTGCTAAGGTGGCAGAGCCCCTCTTCTTTGTATGGCCATGTCCGGAGTAGCTAGTTCTAGCGGGCAGTCAGCCCTTCCAGCCACCCTCACTCATGCCCGCTGGAGGACACCATGATTTTCCACTCTTGCCTAAGCCAGGAGAAAGGAGAATCCCAAGAGAAGGAAGGGGGTGGGGGAAGATTAAGGGCATTTTCTCCACTTACCTTTATTTATTTATTTATTTATTTTACTCAAAAGTGGGAACGCATATCAGGAGCTCCCAAGCTCACCGAAGCACAAGTTGCCTCTGGCTCGGCGTCAGGAACGGTGGAGCTGCAGGTGTTAGGGAGGACCTGTGGGGTGCTTTGGGCGAGTTCTTGCCCACAGCACCTTCTGCGTCTGCTCTAACGCGAGCCCTGCTTGCTTGATAGCTCCCCTCCAGAATCTAACAGGTCTCCCCTCAGAAGTGTATTCTAGCAGACATGATGGAGGGTCAGCTTGGAAGGGTGTGATCCCATTAAACGTGAAAGGTTAACACAGCACTGGGTGCACAGTAAGCATGCAATATATGTTAGCTATTTCAGCTACAAGTTTTGGTAATAGTAATAATTAATATTATTCAACGACTCTGCGTCACATCAATTATTTCTTCCATTGCGGAGATTCTCCCTCCTTTAAACCGTTAAACTTGAAGAGGAAACCAAACCTGATAATCTGGTCACATGTATGCCCATAAATTCTACCTCCAACACAGCCAAGCCCTGTTACCTCAGCTGTAAGCAAAAACACGTGAAGAATGGAGATGCCTTAAGAGGCTTTATGAAAAAGCTTTTGCATTGTTTCGTGTGTTTGCAAAGGGGAGTATTATGGAAGAACCTAACCAAAGCTGTGAAAGAAATGGTCTCCTTGGTCGCGTGGCATTTTCCAGCTCTCCTTGGGTTATGTGCTGCATTAGTCCTGCTCTGACTGATAAATGGTGTTTGAAGAAATGTGAAATTCTATTACTTTGATTTTTATTTCAATTCGGCCTTATTTAAAGGATCAAGCACTATATCCCAGCATGTTCACAGACAGTCATTGGGAGAATCTGGACAAGATAACATTCGTGTGGAAGCTGAAGCCTCTTGCAGTAGTAGAGAGAGAACTGAACTGGGAGCTCCTTCCCTCCTCTGCGGTTCTGGTCTCACTTCCATCGGTGATGGAGTGGGATCACTGGATGGATCACTTCCAGCCTGAATAGTGTTACAATTCCTGAAGCACATACTGTTAGGAAGTGGCAGAACTCAGAAGCAAAATTCCTAATTCCACAAGGTCATATAGTGGATCTCCTAAATTTTAAGAGCTTCTGACTCTACTGGGACACTTTCTTTTGAAAAAATAGTTTTCTTGAATTGTCAGGTTTCACAGATTTTAAAAAATTGTTTTTTGCTATCTCTAGGCAGCAACATGTTGATTACTTTTCTCAGTTTAGACTAATGCTGACCACAGTTTAACTACTTCAATAAAGTAAACAGGATGTTTAAACATTATGTTTATCAAAATGCATCTCTTTGTCATTACTGAAATCTGGTTTTTGACCTAGTAACCAGTTTACCTTTAGGCATTGATAAATGCAAACGACAGAAACCTCAGAGTCACCTCATTTTCTCTACATGTGATCCAGTTTTATCTAAGTTAGGGCCCCTGCACATTTAGAAACAGTTAACAGTCCTGAGCAGAAGAATATATTAAAACTTTCAAGTTCACATATATCTTTACATGTTTTTGCTTTGGGGTTGAGTTTTTAATGCTCTGTATTAAAAAAAAAAAACATCCAAGGGTTTAGTGAGTGTTCTTAAAAATCTTTGTTTTTTTTTTTTTACCCCATGAGAATTAATCTCCTTAGTAGAGGGGGAGTTTGGTGGCGACCTAAGGACACGCTCCCTTCCTGAGAGAAGAAAAGGCTTTTGACTGACTTATCTCTGGGAATTCCTATATATTCCGTGTCCGTGAATTCTGACATCACAGGATTTCCCAAAACTCCTTTGAGGGAGGCTGCCCATCCTTCTGGCAAAGTTTGCCTATTACCATGATGATTTCATATACTACTAGTTCTTCATAGTCCAAGAAATCCCGAGATGTCTCTCATGTTTAGTTGGTTGACCAGAATCAGATTTCTGTGCTCAATTAAAGTGCTTTATTAATCTAATGCAGCTGATATGGAACTTAATTTCAGGAAATATTTGTTAAAACAAAACAAAAGATCACTGGGTTATATTAGATGCATATTGCTTCCATTACTATTAAAAGCATTTAGATAGATCCCTCCCCCACAATGAGAGGAGAATGAGCTCCTAAATATTTTATGGTCAAGATAACTGATTTGATTAATTTACATTTAACTGCAGTTATTGTTACAGTTCAAAAAAGTTTCTAGAAGGTTCTCATTTGACTAACACTGTGGTAAGTACTTTCTCATAGCTGCCTCATATTTTCATCTAATTTCACAACAGCTCTACAAGGTAGGTCTAAGTATTCCCATATTACTTACTGGGAAACCCAAGGCTCAGAGAAGTTAAGTTAATTTCTCAAAGTCTCACCGAGCTTATAAATTGGAGAACTTAAGTCTGAAGCCAGGTCTTCTGACTCCAAATCCAGTGTTCAGTCCGTGAGACAAAACTGCCTTCTTTGGGGCTACAGAGGGTCCGTTTATCACAGAACTTAAAAAAAGTAAACACGATTTCTGTCTGTTTAAGAGACACTTCCATTTCTCCAGTCATACGGTGACACACCTCTTATGTACTCTCTTACTAACTGATTGGTCACTTGGTATGTTTCAGTAGTTCTGGAAAGCCTGATGATTTTCTGTGAACATTCTGCAT